AAGAAATACAGCATTTCGAGAAGGAATAAATTAGGATTAGTGTTGTGAAGCCAGGTAGAGAGGTCTAGTCAGGTGAGGGCCCATTATTGACCTCAGCAAGGCAGGAGCTGGTTATGGTTAGGAGGACTCTAGGGGCTAAGTAGAGGCAGCAAATATAGGTAACTCTCTTGAAAACTCTGGATGTCAAAGAGAAGAAAAAAAGAAGTAACTAGAAGGAGAAGATAGGAGAAGCTTAGGCGTTGATATCAGCTAAGGGTGAAAACCCAGGAGAGAAAAAAAATGAAGACACATGCATGAAAGAAAGAAAGAATACAATGGCAGCCCAGAGGAAGCAGGAAGGAAGGGTCACAGAGACAGGTAAATGGATCGTCTTCAATATTCTTTGAAATTGGAGAAAAGGTGGTAAGGACAGTTGTGAGACATGGCACATTTGGTAGGTGTGTGGGGATCTGAGTGAGATCATACCTGATGCCTTCAATTTTCTTAGGAAGGACTGCAAGGATATTAAACTGTGTTACCAGAGCCGGGTGAGCGATGCAGAGCTGGAACACGGCCTCTCCCTGCATTTTCACCAGCACACTCAACCAGAAGTCAGAGGATGAAGTGGTGTGTGGATAATCTAGTCTGAGGAGATCTGCCTGCCAGAGCATGGACAGGATCAACAAAAGTCAAGAAAAGAAATAGCTAGCCCAGGTAAGAAGCCAATGAGGAAGACTGTGCAAAGATGGCGACAGTAAAGTCCTGCTCTATTTCTACGGGTGCTCCTTTACAATGTGACTCTGCCACTCCATCCAGGAAGAGGCGGAGTCTATTTCCCTACCTTTGAATCAGGGCTGTCCTGTGACGCTTTGACTGGTAGAATGTGCTGGAAATGAGGTTTTGTAACGTTTGAGCCTACGTCTCAAGAGGCTTTGCAACTTTTCCTCTTACCCCCTTGCAACATTATTGGACATGGAAGGATGTCTTCTTGAGGATGAAAAAGCATGTGGACAAGGAGGTCCAGCCAGGCATGTAAAAGGCCACCATGGACTATCTAGCTCCAATCAGGCAGCCAGATGACTCAAGCCACACAAGTGACTCAGGCAAGGCCAGTTTTAAGGCATTAAATTTGTGGGAGGTTTGTTATGTAGCAATAGATAGCGACACACTTGGATAGCATTGGCCTTAAAGGAGGATGAACTAACAGCATTCCTCCTTCTTTTCTTAGCCCTATGAGGTTGGGGTGTGTAGTAAACTTGCTGTGTGTTTTTTCTTTTTCTCTTGTTTTGAAAACATTTTATTAAAGGTAGAAGGATAATGAATGTTTTCAAATTAAAAATATATTCTAGGGCAGCCGAGTGGCTCAGTTGGTTAAGAGTTTGCTTAAGAGCATGAGCTCTGAACAACAGGGTCACTGGTTCAATTCCCACATGGGCCAGTGACACTGCGCCGGAGCTGAGCTGCCACTGAGCTGCCAACAGGTGACAGGATAGCTCAGCTGGTGAGAGCACATGCTCCTAATGACAAGATTGCCTGTTTGATGGTGGGCTATGCCCGCCCGCGGCTGGGATGAACTGGGCATGTTGAGCTGAGCTGCCGCCCGGATGGCTCAGTGGATAGAGCGTGCGCTCTTAACAACAAGGTTGCCAGTTCGACTCCCGCATGAATAAAATATATAAATATTCTAGATCGGTGGTTGCTAGGGGCTCAGGTGGAAGGGAAGAGGAATGAATGTGTGGAACACAGGGGATATTTAGGGCAGTGCAAACTATTCTGTATGATACGGTAATGGTGGATAAATGATATTATGCATTTGTCAAAACTCAAAGAACTGCACAACACAAAGAGTGGGCCCCAATGTAAACCACAGATGTCTAATAATGTGTCAACATTGGCTCATCAGCTGTAAGAAATGTTGATATAAGATGTCAACTGCAACCAGGGAAAGGGGGGACATATGGGAACTCGCTGTGCTATCTGATCCATTTTTTATAAACCTAAAACTGCTCCACAAAATAAAGTCCATTAATACATTCCAGCTTTTTAAAAACCATTCTTAAAACCAAGGCAAACCAAACCAAAGCAACAGGCAAGGGCAGGAGAGTGGGGTTCTCTAGTACCCTCGAGTATTCTGTAATTTATTTTTTAACGTGAGGATTACTATACTCAAAAATATAGGCTTTTTTTGGTATTAGCTCTACAAATAAAACAGTAATATACAAATGTTCCATAGTTTGCCTAGAGAAAAATATAATGACATTAAAGAACAAGCGAGAAATTATGATATACGAAGTGCAGCTTACCTCCAAGGAGAAGAGTGAAAGTGTCACCATGCTGCTTTTGAAGAGTTCTCATGAAACCTATGGGATCTTTTTGTAATTTCAGGGCCTGCCCTAAGTAAGGAAGCCAGCCTTTTATCAGTGGAGGCTCACCAGGTCTCCTATAACAACAACAAAAAAAGATAAAAGAAATTAAATTAAATCATTCTTATTTTAATACATGTGGGTTATTAATCCAGTCTAGAACTGGGTTGGATGAATTGCACAGGTTTTTTTCAATTCTTTTATTCAATGACTCTTATATAATAGAATGTATTTATTGAGCCTCTAATATGTGTGGCTCCGGGGTAGACAGTTCAATTCAGAGTTTTTTGTGAGCAACTTTTTAAAGAAATTACGGCTTGTAAGGGCCACATGAGGCTGAAATGACAGATGCATTCAGTCAACATTTTGTGTCTGAGAGCTCTTGCTGTGCTCTGGGTGTNGCTGGTATAAAGCAATCTGTTTGTAGGTAAAAATTCTCATTCTTTTCAAGGCTCTTTGCATTCCAGGATCTGTATTTTCTCTTTCTCATTCTTATTTTAATTTTCCTTCACATCAAAGCATTGTGTTTTATCTATTATCTTTCTTAGTAAGATGTGGCTTGCTTTAAAAGTAGATGTTTTGATTTTCTGAATTTTGCTTTTCAAGTGGGTTTGGAAGTACTAATAACCCTGGAGATGTTAGCTGGCTTTCCAACTTTTAATCTTCAGTATAAACAATTTAAGCTAAGTTTTCCAAAATTAATATTAATTTAAACCATCTGTCCACCATCTGCTAATGTGAGATGCAAAACCAGAGTTCTTTGTAATCTTTAATCAGACAGTTAGGAAAACACATATACATTCATAAAATGAGTTTAAATTTCTTAACAAAGGAGATCTGAAAAGTTATTCTGAAGGCCATGTATCCTTGGAGCAAAATTAGCTTTTCCTCCAGTGTGACTTTATGTAAATACATGCCAAGTGTCAACAGGCAAGTTTCCTAGATCACAAAGATCACGAGGCAGAAACAATATCCTTTGCCATGTTTTCAAATGAGAAAAAAATGCTGTCAGCAGTTGATATAAAATATTGATTGAAAGAATTTGAGAGTTTGCATTTGTCTAAAATATAAATGTCAAAATGGGGCTTACTTCTGATATTACAGTAATACCTTGGTTTGCAAGCATAATTCATTCTGGAAACAAACTACTCGTATTGCAAGACATCACTCGTTTACCACGTTAAAATGTATCAGAAATGTTTGCTTGTCTTGGGGAACACTCGCCAACCAAGTTACTCGCAACCCAAGGTTTTACTGTATGTTTATTCATCCTTTTTAGCAGTAAATTTGAATTTGAAATAGGGTCAAGACTTTTAATGTCTTCTTTGCCAATAATTTCATTCTCTTCCCTTTTTTGGAGCTGACTGGGCCTTAAGATATTAACTCTAGCATTCCTATGTAACCTGTACATGATCCTTGACTAACTCTCCAGCCTTCTCACTTCCTTCACAACTGCTTCCTTCAGTAAGTGAAGCTCCGTGATGCGAAGTACGTCAGTAAATGTTAAAAAAAACAAATTAGGTCTTCCACACAGATATCTCATCTATACAAGAAGTCTGACATCTGGATCATTATAAATTGAACTTTGATGTTTTTATTTCAGATAGTTGGTGCTTTACAGAGACACATCCATGGGAATTCAGAACAACTATTTGACTATTTGGGGTAGAAATGCCCAGTCAACAAATAGGAGATAAATTTGAATATTAAAGAAATTTCCATACTTATAAGCTTTTAATCTCTATGCTTAGCTGGTTCTTTAATAGAATTAAAAAAAAATCTCAAGTTGAAAAATATTAGTTGGAAGAGTGGAATATGAACTAACTTTTTATTTTATGAGGATGACCACATTCCATACTCTTCCTCTTATTAGGGAGATTTCACTCGCTGTTGACAATGACTTACAGCGGTGCTTCATTGGGATGACATCTGGGGAAAATGATTCGGTTGCTTCACCACACACAACCAATTAGAGAACTATTTTCTGCGACAGGTCACGAATTTGCGTGGTTTCTCATGAAAAGATGTACTTTTTAATTTCTTTATTAAGATGACATCCATGTCCCTTGAGACGTTTCGGGATGACAATCATTTGCTCATCATGCAAGAACATTTGCTCACTGCAGTCACGTTATGGGACAAGGGTGGAAGACTCCGTGTTCCTCACTTCACATTTTCCAAATGAGCTATTTTACAAGCTGATCATTAGAACCATACACATCCGTAGGATATCTTGACAGGAATTTATGCAAACTCTAGTAAGAAGCCAAAGAGAAGTAGTACACATATTTAACTGTGGCTGTCTACTGCTGAGTTCAAAAATATAACCATGGTCAAATTATTTAGACATTAGAAATTCAGCAAGCTTCTCAGTATCTAAGACTAAGATATCAAGTGTCAGCAGAAATTGGTTGTTTTTTGAAAAGTGAATACAATTATTCAAATTTGCCACAAGTTTCTGCTTAATCATCTTAGGTTACTTCTGTGTAATGTATTCACAAAGGAAAACTAAAAATGTCAATAATTTGTTGTATGTACTCATTTATTAGAACATAAGGTTTAATTTTTTTAAAGTAAGAGTGACTGTTTGTTAAAGTGAAGATTATAGTTTTTTATTATGAAGCCTAAAGCTCACTTAGAATATAAGCATCAGCTATGGCCTTTATTTGTATTATAGTAAGTATTTTATCAGCTCTAAAGTATTGGGAAATTCCTCATCAAATATTTATTGACTCAATCAGTGC